GAAGACAGCAGAGTGAGTCCCAGTGAGACCTCAAAGAGGCCCATGCGTATTTCAAAATTTGAAAATCATCTACACCTGCTTCAAAAGACTGCCATGATGACTAAGTAACGTTACCATTTGCAAAGCATTTAAAATAGACCCCGACATATGGCAGGTCTTCTAAACAGGAGCTGAGACACCATAAGGTGTTTAACCAGTTCTTCGTTGATGTTTACAATTTTTAACTTTGCTGAGTTTGTCTAATGTAGAAACTATCAGGGCTGTGTTGGCACAGCAGTTAAAGGGTTGCTTGGGAATCCCGTATCCCATACTGAAGTGCTTGGGTTCAAATATAATATCCATTACCTAGTCCAGATTCCTGCACACTTTGGGAGACAACGGTAATGGCTCAAGTACTTGGTTCCCTCTGTTCACATGAGAGGATTGAACTGAGTTCTGGACTCATGGTTTTTGCCTGCTCCAGCTCCTCCTGTAGAAGGCATTTGGGGCATCAACCCACGAGGCCGTCTCTCTCCATCTCTCTCCCAAGCCTCCCTTTGAATAAATAAGTTTTTTAAAAATGCGCCAGGCAAGTTCTGAATTAGACTTTTCTCAGTTCCACTGCTGCTTGTTACTAAATTGTCACTCTGAACTTGATAAATGTGTACCATATTGTTGACACACCCTCCAGGCAGCATCAAATGTGAGAAGTGGAGTCCAAGGGAGTGGCTTCTAAGGCCAGGCCCCAAGAGAATCCACTGCAGATTTTCTGTCTGCAGAAAAGCTGTGCCATAGAGGGGACCACTGAGGACAGGCCGGGCAAAGAGAAGATGATGCAGACATATTCTCATCAACCTGCAGGAGTAGTGGAGGTTTGGGAACGCGTATAACAAAGCCCCTTTCCACTCCAGAGAAATTCAGCCTTTTCCTCTCTCAGGGTCATTTGTGGAATGACTACCTCAGCCATCCTTCTCTGTCCCAGGAGAGGTGTGCTTCACCGCATTCTTTGGCAGAGCATGTGTTGGTTGGTGGTGAGGCCAGAGGGAGAGGCTGCCCTCTCATTTCCCTCCCTGTCCCTAATCTCTGCTACGTTACAACCTCATCTCCAGGCTGGTTTCAGGAGAAGGGCAGGAAGACATTTACACACCAGCCACCCCTCCTGAGTCCTTTCTGCTTTATCGCTGTAGTCACTCAAGATCAAATATTGACCAGCCCTGGTAATGGACTGAAGGTGAAGTGAACCCGAGTTCTCTGCATTCTGTGCTTCTCTGCCCTTCACAAGGAGACATTGGTTCCTCCCATTGCAGTGGTGAAATCTCCCCCACCTTCCAGCACCTGGCCTAGCCCGTATGGTGGCAATGCTGGTATGTCAGTTCCAAGCCTGACCCCTAAGACCTGAAATTCTTGCACTTACTCTCTTGGCTCCTGCCCCATACTCTAGGAACAGCTGGAGTGTACTACCTGCCACCAGTCAGCCCATAATCAGCCATGAGCCCAGCACTGCCCCCCAAGAGCTGCTCTGCCAAGCCCGGCCAAGGTCAGCTGAGAGGTGTAACTGACTTGCTTTTGCATGAGTAAGCACAAGTGACAGGAAGAACCACCCAGGACATGCACAGATTTGTAAACTATATAAACACTGTGTCACTTGAAATCTGATGTTACTCAGCAGTATTGTGGTAAGAGATAAATAATACAACTGTCTCTCCCTGATGCTGTCTGTGGATTCAAACATGCCTGTGAGATACTCAACAAATGGTCAAATTCTCATTGTCAATCTGGCTCCAGCCAAGAACATGTACTGCCCTCTCTTACAATAACCTGTAGGAGGGGGACTGTAGAAAAATGGAGATCTTTTAACTTAGCAGATGTCCAGGAGGCTCAAGGGAAAGTGCATGAGCCTCTGGAAAGATTCACAAGATGACAGGCTTAGGAATGCCCTGCCCATGCACAGTTGGACTGCAAAGATCACAGAAAGCTTGGTGTGATGGCATTGCCTGTGGAAACCGGTAAGGCAGGCCTAGCTTCCCATTGTGGATTGGGTTGAGACCAGATTGTACAAGTTAAGAGCAGAAGGAAAAAAAAGAAAAAGGTAATCATGGAGAAGACAATGAGACACCCCTGGTCACAGAGCTGAAGCTGCAGCCAAGCTTATCTGAAGTCTCTGAGAGCAAGGTAGCCCTCCAAGGGGCTCTGAGACCCATGCCGTTAACTTCCATTCCTAACACATCTCCTAACTTTCTCTTGATCACTACTCCATGTTGTAACCACCAGCTAGTATGCTCCTTTGGAAAACCCTGGAAAAGCCACAGGGAAGACAGTGTTAAGTGCAAGAAGGATGGGCCCCAACTGAAGACACCTTCTCTCATCTCCAGTCATCATACAGATCCTCCTCCTTCACTCCCTTGCCCCAACCTCCTGCCATTATTTCAAAGAATTTGGAAAGTACCTTGCACACCAAGGACAAGTGAAAAGCCTTAGCTCACTGGGCAGGTCACAGTGGATACTTTGGATCTCTGAAGTGACCCACTGGAATGCAATTGTGGAGCTTGTTTTAGACAGGAGAGCAAAGCTATCCATAGCCTCACAAATAGCTCTCATATATCCATGGGATCTCAGCACCTAACTGCTGGGACCACAGGTGCAGAAAAAGGAAAAATAAAAATTTGATTGAGATGGGCATCTTACCTAGCAATCAAGGTGCCCATGTTCCATGTTGCTTTTTCCAGTTTCAGGCCCTTGCTCCAGTTCCTAATCTCAGCTTCCTGCTGATGCAAACCTGGGGAGGTAGTATGGATGGCCCATTGACTGGGTTCTAGCCACTCACATGGTCGAAAAAAATGGAGTCCCTGGTTCCTGGTTTCAGCCCCTGGATGTTGCAGGCATCTGAGGAGTCAGCCAATCAGCGTGAGTGTGCTTGCTCTCTCTTCTCCTAATGACATAAAGAAAGAAAAAGGAATATTCATTGCTGAAACAGGACTTGGCCTGGTGGTTAATGCATTCGTGTCTCAAAGTACCTGGGTTCAAACACCAGCTTTGAACTCGAGTCTCCTACCAGCGTAAACCCTGGGAGATAGTAGTAATGGCTCAAGCAATTGGTTCCTGGTACTCATGTGGAGGACTTGGGTTGTGAACCTGGCTCTTGGTTATGGTTCTAGCCTAACACTAGCTGTTGTGGTTTTAAAGAGCAAACAAGCAGATGGAAGCTTTTTCTTTTTCTTTTTCTTTTTTTTTTTTTTTTACCTCCTCCTCTCTCTATCTCTCTCCCCTCTATGTGTCTCTATGTGAACAAATTGTTGGCTGTTTTTGTACAGCCGTGACAAAAAGTAAAGCTGAACACAGGAAAGTGTGTCTTTAGTTGGAGGCTAGCCTCTTTGTCTTATTGGGTAAGTAAAGTGGAGCAACCTGGACTCCAACAACATCCATTGTAGGTGGTGGTTCTAACAGGCAGTGATTTTACCAGCTGTGTCACACCACCATCCCCAAAGACACAATTTTAATCCTTTCTACATTCATAGACTTAATTCACCCCAATCATGATGTTCAACAAAACATAAGGAGACCACAGTTTCACAAGAGTATCAACAAGGGCTAAAATGGTAATCACATCTCAAGATGACCATTTCATTCTTATACATCTTCTGTGTTCTAAATTAGTTGTACATTTTAGAAAAAAAATATGTCTTTTTGAGACTGGCTTCTTTCACTAAACATAGTAATTTCTAGTTGTATCCATTTTGTTGCAACAAAAAAAAAAAAAAAAGGATTGCATTTTTTTATGGTTGAATAGTATTCCATAGCATATTAGTGCATTTTCTTCATCTAGTCATCCATTGATGGATATCATGGGAATGGTGTCCACAGCCATGGCAGCCAGTCTTGGAAAACAGTGGGAACTCAGACCCTGGAGCAGGCACAAGGCTGGTGGGCTGATCTCCAGTGTGTGGTCACACCAGAGGAAGAATCTTTGGGCCCGACCCTGGGCTGCCACCTCTGACCTCTCTGGAAAATTGGAAGGAAAGGCTCCATTTTCACCCCTTTATACAGTCTTATTGTTTTGTCTTTGTATACTCTGTCCAGGCTGGAGAGAGAGGCCTACCTTGGTCAATTCCACCTTGGGATGCCCATGCCAGCCTCAGTAGGCCCTAGGGTAGGGGTCTCACACAGTTTGAGGAGTTACCTTTCCAAAGACAAGAAGAAAGCATATTTTGAAAGGTTTTACCTTTTCTCTGTCTGCATCTCCTCTTACATTCCAAAACCTCTGAATTAGGACCCTCAGAATTAGGCTCCTGGCTTCAGTTCTGGCTGTTGTGGCTATTTGGGGAACGAGCTAATGGATGGAAGATCTTTCTCTATCTCTCCTCTCTAAATCCAGCCTTCAAATAAAAACTGAAACATATTTAAAAGAAGAAAAATGTAAATAAACAATGTATATATGTGAGGGGGCTTTAAAAAGTTCATGGAAATTCATATTATGACAAAAATGCATGGATTGCAAACATTTTTGCACCAGATTTGAAGTATGCTCTCAGACCATTTCCCCCATACTTTTTATTGTGCCTTCATACCAAAGACAGGCTCACAGGTACCTGCTTGCATCCTCTGGGAATGAACCAACTCTGAATGAGGAGTCTCTGTCTGGATCCACACCAGACTGATAAGCAATGAAATACAGAATATACACAGTATGATAAACCTTGACGGTGAAGAGATCATGAATGCACCCCTGCCACTGTCACCCTGAAGGCCAGGCTTCCTGGGGTACCTCCCAGCCTCTCTCACCTGCTTGTCAAGTCACCCTGTTCAGGCCTGAGTGTCCCACTCTGTCAGACTTTACACAAGTCCTGCTCTCTGTCTCCTGCTGGCTCTTTGGACCCAGAGCAGCTCTTTGCTTTTTCAGGAAACAAACTGGATGAAAGTCCAGGGCTGGGACTTCCTCCTTGGTCTATTTGACAAGGACTGACGTACACCGGGCCTTTGAATCCCGGAAGCCAAGGCCACACCCGACCTTGGTTGCCGCCTCCAGAAGGCTCTGTTGGAGGAAAAAGGACAGAGACAAAAAACTACTGCAACATGAGGGACCCGCTGGCAAATTGCTCGGTGAGTAACAAAGTGAGCCATGTGGCTGGGTATGGGAGGGAGCGTGGGGGCAGATGTGAACATGAATGGATTTGAGCTGCTCACAAACTTAGATGTTTGAATACTGACTGTGCTACAAAAGCTTGAGTTTTCTTGGTTGAATAAGTAACTGAGCCCTTCCCAAGACCAGACAGGGCAGGTAACAGCCATCTCCCACTCCCGTGTTCTAGGAAAATATTTCAGCAGATAGAGCATGGTATTTGGAACCAGATAGTGGCTGTTTAGAAAACATTCTTAAAGCATTTCCAACGGTGCCAGTATCCTGTGTTGGGTAGACAGATACAAAAACCAGTGTTTGGCTTTGAAAATGAGGTTAAGGAGGACTGTTTTTGTCCTGCATATTGTTTGAGCCAAGGACTACAAGTCCTGGGGACGGGGGGAGAAAGAACAAGTCCCCACTCTGTCCACCTGTCCACCTGCAGCGGCTGTCAGGCAGGCTTGCCGCAGAATGGAATGTGAATTGTTTGTACCGTTGGCTGTGTGAGGGCTCTTCCGATGGTTTACCAGCAGCGGGAAGCTCAAACTCCTACTCTGTCCAGCCTGCAGTGGCTGTCACCTCAGTGAAACTGCCTGAGGAAGGGCCAACTTCCCACTTGCTGGTGACCCTCAGACCGTTCCCCAGCATGCTGAACTCCAGTCCTGTGAGCATTACCAGAAATAGAAGGTTGGCCAAAAGTTCAAAGACACTGTGTGGCGGTCAGCAGCATGCGGGGAGACGCTATCTAGAGAACCAGAGACACAAGCAGGGGAGATATTTGCTTTGAAAACAAAGTAGTCAAGAAACTGCTAGTTTCTTGTCCTAACAAATGGTGATAAGAAGGGGTTACAGTCATCCCTTCTGTACTTGTCTTTAGAAAGAATAAACTGATGAGGTAGATAAATGAAAGCTACAATATGGCTATAAAGCCAAAGACCAGCAAGACATTATTGGTTTCCTTTTATTTACTTAATGGATAAGGAAAGCACATGCTTAGAGTAGATGGAATTATGACTGCTATTCCACAGACTGAGCTTCAGAATCAGAGAAGCTGAGATGAATTCCCAAATGGGTAGTAATGGTAATGATAAAACATAGCAACCAGTCAGGCCAACTATCACTTTCTCAATAAAAAATAATATTGCTTAATGTGAAAACAAATTTTAACAATATGGTTGCATACAGATCTAGGAGTAACATGTTTTAGTGATCTCAATTCTCAATCTTTTATCCTTGGCAATTCTGTATCACTTTTTAAAAATATCTGACTCTTTTAGAATTTATTTCTTTGTTAGCTGATTTATTTTTCTCTTTGAGTCTGTTCCTTGCTAATTAGTTAAATCCTCTTCTGTCCCAACTCTAAAGCCTGGATGATACTGTGTAGAGTCAGTTGGAAGGAAATTTGCACCAAGCATCACCAAAGAAGAAAGTCAAGAACAAGTGAATTAGACAAGAGAGAGACAGAGAGATAGAGAGAGAGACAGAGAGATAGAGAGAGAGAGACTACAGTTATATGAAGAAACAAGAGTGAATGAGAGATGAAAAGGGTATAACAGAGACAGAGAAGGAACTGAGGAGAAAGGAAGGCAAGAAGAGGAATTAGAAACTTAACATCTTGTTTACAGGCCGGGAGGTTAATATGCAGATCATGACCTTCCAACAGCCCCTGGGCAGTCCATCATAGTGTCAGTGGGAGGCTCTGCCCCTGCTGTGCTGAGTGTTCTTTGACCCCAGACTCACGTCCTTGTTCACCATTCTCAAGGTCATCCCTGCACACCCATTGCCATCCAAAGTGTCCAGGAATCAAAAGGCAGCGGATATCCCCTCAGCCTGGGTTTCTAAATTCACTAAAGTCACAGAATATTTATTTATTTGCTATTGTTTCATCTCCATCAAGGTTATTTCCTGCCACTGTCTGTCCTAACTTGTACTTAGAGAACAATGCTGTGTGAAGATAAAGCTGCAGTTAGGGAACATAATAAAACAAGGAAAGGCATTGCAAGTGAAAGCTTCATGAAACACTTAATAGTCTCATAAAAGAAACCGACACTTTAACTATGTGTCAAATGCCCATTCCGAAAGTCCTTGGGGTTACACAAAACACAATCCATAAAGTCTTAACTTAGCTACAGTTCTTAACCTGTTCTCCGTGTATGGGACTCAGCGAATCACACGAGCTTCCATCAATAGGAAACACATCTCTATTTATGTTCACTCTTTAAAATATGCTTTAGAAATGAAACACTTTAAATAAGCAGTGAATTGTTTATTTTGTATCCATATGAAGAGCAAAGAGAGAGAGAGATCTGCCATCCACTGATTTACTCCCAAAGTGTCCATATAAAATTCAGCATTTCCTTCAATTCTGAATATAGGCCACAAGCCTCAATGCTAGTAACATTGTCTGTTACATTGTAACCAATAAAAATTACAGATATTATTACATAGCTGCATAGCTGCTGTAGGTATCTAAAAATATATTATTTATCTTCAGGCTAAAGTAGAAAATTTGTAAATTCTTAACACTTTTTATTTAGTATGGTAATAGAAAACACAAAATGTCACAATTTTTTTTAAAGATGTTTCCATAAATATACAACAGTATAATTCATCTCCTTTGCAGTTTTGTATTATTTGATTTCATGAATTTAAAAATGTTATCCCAGGTAAAAGAGGTTTCAATAACAGAATCATCAGAATCACTGGTACCAGAAAAGAAAAATGCTTATTCATGTACTGATAGACAAAATGGGCAGATAGCAGGGCTTTTAACCCCAGTAAGCCAGATTAACATCTGCTTTCAAATTATTGTCACCAGGATAGTACAAAGATTGCCTAAATGCTATGTAGGGGCTTTAAATAATCCTAAGAATTTCAGGACTTTTTGAGAAAGATTTCCTAAAGTTCTGGATTTGACAAGAAAAAGAAATTGGCTCTGAAGCTGCATACCTGTGAGCTTAGCTTCTAAACCCCAGAATATGCCATAAAAAATCCTCAAATCTATGTGCAAGAAAATAAGATCAAATTTACCCAAAGAAATCATCTAATCTTAAAAAAAAAAAAAAAAAAAGCAAGTGCCCTCCAAAGAAATAACCCAGTAGAAATCAAGAACAAGCAACAAACTACAAACACAGCTTTACTTTTTCTGTTAGGATCCAGATAGAAAGTCCTGTCTAAGTGGACATGTGGGGTTATATATGGTCAGTCCCTTCTGGCCTGGCATCAGCATCAGATATTGAAGCAGCACCAGGCTGCTTCTTAAACCGATAACCTGGTTCAGATACCAACCTGAGCTTGCCATCTTCGCAGCTCAGTCGGGTAAATGGTTGCTGCCTCTCACCAGGAAGACACTGAGTCACAGTTCATGATTTCTATGGGAAAAGGAGCAGAAGAGGCAGGTTAAAGCTGGCTGGGATTAAAGGAGTCCACAGAGCCCCCAGTGTAGATTAGCAAGATGTGTCCCAGGCCATACCACCTCTATTTGGTTTTATGGAAAGTTAGAGGAGAGGGTAGGGTAGGCTATGCCTTTTCTATTTGTTTATTTATTTATCTATTTATTGATTTATGTATGTATTTAAGATTATTAATGTACATTTATTTGAAAGCCAGGGTTAGACAGACAGAGAGAGAGAGAGAGAGATCTTACATTCACTGGTTCTTTCCACAAATGACCTCAACAGCTGAGGCTGAGCTATGACAAAGCCAGGAGCCAAGAGTTTCATCTGGGCCTCCCACACAAATGGCAGAGTCCCACACACTTGGGCCCTCGTCTTTGCTTTGCCAGATGCATTAACGGGGAGGTAGATGACAGGAAAAGGAGCTAAGACTTGAATCAGTGCTCATGTAGAATACAGATCATATTTTTAAGGTTCTGTATTATGTAATCTATTACCACCTGCCACGTGAAGCACAAATATTACACAGATGGCTAATAGATACACATAATCCAAGAGGGGGCATATTTTGAAATAGTATTCCTCTGTGAAATCAGAATTTCCATGAAACCTGTGCCTGTATAGGAAAGGCATCCAACAAAAGTGCATTCAATTATACTGAAAAAGAGTGCCATTGTTTATTTAACATCAGTTTAATGTTTAATAGGCCTCTAAGGCATTTGAACTGTGAAAGTCAAAAGGAAAGTCTAGATCAAGCTTGATCTAAGCATTTGATATTGTTTGCCATCCACCTATCTAATCATTTCATATGCTGATTGCCTGCATCACTTTTTGTAATGGCGGTATGAATACAGCACAATTTGCCTGAGTGCTGGATAGAAACATTTTCCAATGACAGAACAGCAAATATCTGTATAGACTAGTGTTCTGTGTGAAAGAATTTTTTTAGAGACTTAGAAAAGTCCCAACTATCCCACCAGCAGCCTAAAGGCTCTCTAAAAGCTGGGGGAAGTCATACCATTTTTCTCATAGTAGGTAAGGTTCCCAGAAAGAAGCAACATATTAATATAAATTCCTCTTTGAATATACTGTTAGTATTAGATTATTTCTTAGCATGGATATTTGGGAAAGGATGGACTATTCAAAAGTACAATGGGTAGGAAAAGGACACTGAAAATTTCTTCTTTCCCACAACTTGGGCCAGAGCAAACCTTTCTTCTTGTGCTGTTTATGTTATATACACAAACATATTGCTCGTAGCACATAAATGTTACTATAAGTGATTACACTGATTAGTCAGTTATAAACACACTTGGTTCTGAAATCAATTTGCTTATTGACCATTTCTAATCACAGTCTTGTTCCTGCCTGTTGCATTTGTGTTGAGCTCTTTAGGCCATAAGCATAAACAAAGGGATAGGAGTGTCATGGTTTCCAACCATGCTCCTGAACCCCTCCAAGATCTCTGGGGTTTGCAAGCAGGCTAGGAACAAAGGAGACAAAGTCAAGGCTGAGAGATTTCGTTCTCTCAAAGCAGATGCAGTGCACAATTCTCTAATGATGTGGACACAAACATGTATGCTGGACCAGATAGTCTTTGGGGTCTGCTTTAGCATTTAGGAAAGTCTGCTTTGGGGTTTTCATGTCTGCATAGATGGCACGTGAAGAAAGGCATGGAGTCATTGCTTTTAAATAAGGAGTTATGCTAAGGTCATGGAACACTCTTAGCTATGATTTATTGATGGCACCTTTACAGCAGGGAATTTACAGCACACTGAACAGGGTATCAAAGACAAAGATTCTTTTCTTTGATGGAAGAAGTAGAACTGCTTTCTGTTACCACTAAGTTACAACAACCACCTGTATTGAGGAGCTTCCCAACGCACAGGAGCCTGAGTGTCCTGGAGTTCCAAGAATGCGTTACACATGTCCCTGAAACTCAAAGCCCCTCAGCCCTTGACCCGATAGGGAGGCAGAACCAAGAGCCTGTGGCCTCTTTCCAGAGCAACTTTGTCCATTTACCATGCTGTTCCTGTGCAGATATTTTCTGCCTATGGGAAAAATTATTAAATGTTTGAAGACCATCTGGCAAAATCTAGGACTGGCAGCCCCAGGGTCAATTGATGCCATAAACTGTGTGTGGACTGAGCCACCCTTTACTTTAGAAAGTGGAGCTTGAATGTATTTGGGGAGACCAGCACATGCTACACCAGGGCCACAGAAGGCAGCTGAGTTTTCAGTTTGTTTTACACTTTCAGCGTGATCTGCTTTCTGAAAACCAGACCACTTGAGGCTAAATAAAACATGGGTCTTAGGGAATTTTAATGGCCTGATAAGTTTGGAAATGGAAGATGCCCCTGCATCCCAAGCACATAGAAACAAATCTCACTTAGACAAGTCTTGCCTGTTTGCACACTTATCTTCCAATTTCACTCCCTACTCTTCTTCCTCACTCACAACTGTTTCCAGGCGTTGTGGGCTGCACGGTTCTTTCCCTCAGGACAAACACAGCTTCTTTGTTTCACTTGCAATTCTCCAGAAGGACTCTACCACTCTACACTTTGCCTTCTCCCAGCCCCAGCCCCAGCACTAGCCTGATCTTGTGGGCGCAGAAAACACTTACTCTGCAAATTTGCATTCCTGTCCTTCTCTTGTCCAGGACCTTGTAGTTTTTCATTGTTGTTGTTGTTGTTATCTAGCTTAATATTATTGGATATTTCTAACTAAACAAAATATGAAAACAACAGAATTTACAGAGAAAAATCACTGAATAAGATTTTAATGAATGAAGACTTACAACATTGCTTATATGTGAACTCTAAATAAAAAATCACTTTAAAAGTCACTTTCTCCAGATTGATGTATGTGTAATATAATTCAAGATCCCAATAGAGGTTTTTTAAAATTGTAATTAGAGAACTAGTTGTATGGGAGAACAAATGCCCAAGAATAGACAAAGAAAATATAAGAAGGAAAAAGAACAGCTGTTTGAGAGCAGAATGAAATCGTTGTAAGCACATAATGTGTATCATTAATTTCTGTATCATGACTATTTTATGATGCTGGTATGTTTCACAATTTGAAACAAAGATTAAAAGACTGTTCAGCTGCACATGGGAAAATCCAAAACAAAAATGTCTTTCTAAAGTCCCCTGTACCTCTCTCACACATAAAACTGAATTCAACACAGAGGACTCAGGACTTGTCGGCATAGCTGCTATGAACCCAGACTCGTTTCTTCTCTAGCAATATAATCTAAATGTGTGCTCCTGTCTCCAGGATTCAGCTGGAGAGTGCTAAGAAAGGAAAAAGGCAGAGCACCTTCCGCTTACTGAGTGTCCCATGTAGCAGGCACAGCCACATGCATGAATACCTTGGGGGCCCAGGAAGTGCAATAGCCCCTGCATATGGTGCTAGTGCAGAATTAGAGAGCTTGGGGCCAGAGAGGAAGAAGGATCTAAAGACATGACCTGACCCATGCCCCTATGCATAGACTTGGAATAATACAATACCTAGGATGTGGTAATAGCCTTAAGTACTCTAAATTCTCTCATCCTCGTGCAGTATCTTGTCTTTCCTCCCAATTTAATACAGAAAGCTGTGATATTTGGCAGCCAAGTTTTCTGTTTTCTATTCCCCGTAGAATGAACTTATCCTCTAGGAATGATACAATCCTAATAAGGTCTCCTTTCTCCTCTTACAGATGCACTAGGTAAGTTCTGGTGAGCATTTTTATTTGCTTCAACTTAATATTTTACTTATTATTTTTAACACAGCATGTTTTTAATTCACATGATGGTCAAAGGTTTAATGCCCCACCAAATAAAGAGATCAGCAAATAAGATGAAAAAAAAAAAAAAAACCACGACAGTTCAACAGGAAAAATAGGCAAGGGCTAAATACATTGAAAAGATATTCAACTTCAGTCAATCAAGCAAATTTCCAAATGGACACAAAATAATTAAAGCTGTAGTAAAATGTAACTTTTAACGATTCCTCTGACACAGATTTAAAGAAAAGTTCGACTGTAACTCAGCAGAACTGATACACAGGCATTCCATTCTTTTATTTTCAATTTTTGCTTTCTAAATTTTAGCTCCCCCAAATGAAGAAAAACATGTGGAATTTTTCTCCTGTGTGTGTCTGGCTTATTTAATTCAACATGATGCTCTCTAGCCATTTTGATGCAACTTGCAGAATCTCATTCATTTTGAAAAATGCAATCTGTTGTTGCCTCTAACAGCTGGAAATTATGAGAGTATGTATGGAATGCTCCACCATCTAATTCACCTGCCCCGTGTCAGAGAAAGCTGCAGAGTCAGCTGACACTTGCCCTGTCCACTTGGATACTTAAAACTCTGAGGTCATCAGTTTTGAAGCTTATACATACAATATTCAGAATGACATGGTGGAGGAATAAATCACATGATAAGTTTTTTTTTTTTTGCTTGAAATTCTTGGTTCCTCAGGCTAAATCATATATGAATGAATTTATAAAAATTTACTTACGTAAAAGGTTTGGTTCAACCAAATTAGTTGTCAAACTTACAAGATCTCTGTCACTGGATTTGAGACATAGAGGGGACAAGGGCAACTTTTTATTGCCAAGTTATTCATTTACAATTTCATACCTAGCCAAGAAAAGCTTGCTTTAATAGTGTGTCTTGAGCCCCATGAATATTGTTTTGAGATGGTTAAGTCGAGGTACAAAATGGTTAGAGTGGACTTTCGACCTTTCTGGAAACAACAACAGTGGCAAGAAACCAGACTCCAGGAGCATGCCCTGCTGAGTTGCTTATATTTGGCATTGGGGAGAATCATACAAACCAGCTTTATCTGACAATGACTCCAGGAGCTTGAAATCCAGTTGGAAGAGGTTTCACCTTGACTTGGACAAATCGTGCAAAAGAAGCACATCCTTGTCGCTGCACAGTCATTTCCAACGCCACCATTCCATTAGCAAGCCAAAGGCATTTATGCAGCTGCCTTTGCAAGTGCTCCTAACCCTCCTGTTCATTGTTTGTTTGTTTGTTTCAGTATAACAAAGTATACAAGAACCTAAAGGAGTTTTCTCAAAATGGAGAGAATTTCTGCAAGCAGGTCACGTCCATTCTTCAGCAAAGGTACAAACTGTAATTTACAATCAACGGCTCTTCTTTTGCAGTTGCCACGAGTGATGTGAGTGGAGGCGAGATTGCAGGCTGTCCTACTTTCCAGAATATGATGCGGTGTTTTAGTTCTCTAGAGACTGATTTTAAGAGTGATTCTCTTCTCTTATACATTTATCTACTGAGTACCATAAAAACCAAGGGATAACAGGAAGTAATTCTGTTTGGAAAGCCTCAGCCAAGCGTATTCTGCTTTCACAGTCTGAGTTCATCCCCTGCTGCTGTATCTGATGTAGATACAATACAATGATGTAGTACAATGCTTGCCATTGTACTGTTCAACCCACAGTGATTATCAGTGAAAAGTTGTGTGTCTCCTGCAGAAGCAGAGGCTATGCCTTCCTTATCAGCAACTTGAGCCTGGCCTCTTGGAATTCTTTGCTGAATGTCTGATGGCTGAAAGCAAGGGTGGATGAAAAGCCATACCCTGTCTATATGCTTTACTCCTAACACCAGGTGTGGCTGTGTGTGAATTTGTTCCCTGGGCTGAAATGTACCCTCTTCACTCAGTCAAGAATGGCACAAAACACCCTGCTTAAAATTAGGGAACCCAAGGACTGACTAAGGGCATAAGACAGGTTTTAGGCCTTTTCCCTGACCCTATTCAGCTCTGTAATAAACATTTCTAAAGAGATTGTGAGATAGTTCTTATAAACTAAACTATCCCACATTTAAAATAATGTTCATGTGCCAGAAGGAATTGATTCTGTGGATTAAATGAATCCTATACTAGTAGGTCAAGAGCAAAGATTAGCTGTATCAGAATCAATAACCAAGACCAAAAAGAAGGATATGGGAAAGCACTAACAGTTTTGTTTCAAGATTTTTTCTTTAAATGTAGATTTATACAGGAAGAAAGATCTTCCATTTGCTGGCTCACACCCGAATGGCCACAACAGCCAGAGCTGAGCCAATCTGAAACCAGGAACCAGAAGCCTCCTCCAGGTCTCCCAAGTGGTTACAGCATCCCGAGTCTTTGGGCCATCTTCTACTGCTTTCCCAGGCCACAAGCAGGGAGCTGGATGGGAAGTGTAGCAGCTTGGACATGAATTGATGCCTGTATGGGATCCTAGGCATACAAAGCTAGAATTTAGCCCCAGAGCCAATGCACTGGGTCCATTAATAGGCTTTAATAAAGAAAAACAGGTCAAGTTAAAAAAGAAAAATTTCCTAAAGATGTGCCTGCTTACTTAAAAGCCGGTGGCCAGTGGGGAGAGTCCAGGCACAGGGTGGGAGAGGAGGCAGAGTAGAAGAGAGCTTCTATCTGCTGGTTCACTCCTCATGCAGTTGCAAAGGCCAGGGCTGGGCCAAGCTGATGTCAGGATGCCAGAACTCTACTTGGGTCTCCTATGTGGGTCCAAGTACTTGGGGCAGTCTCTTCTGCCTTCTCAAGTGCATGAGTGAAAGTTGGAACTCAAGTGTAATGGCCAGAACTCAAACCAATGTTCAGATATGGGATGCCCACAGTATAAATAGTGGCTTAAACCAATGCTGCACAGCACTATCCCAAAGGAAAAAAATCTTTAAAAAATATTTGTTATTTTTATTGGAAATATAGATTTACAGAAAGAAGGAGAGAGAGAGAGCTCTTCCATCCTCTGGTTCACTTCCCAAATGGCCACATAGCTGGAGCTGTGCCATTCTGAAGCCCGGAGCCAGGAGTCTCTTCCAAGTCTCCCACATGGGTACAGGCTCCCAAGCTTTATGCCATCCTCTGCTGCTTTCCCAGGCCTTAAACAGGGAGCTGTATGGGAAGTGGAGTGGCTGAGACATGAACTGGCATATAGGATCACAGTACTTGCAAAGTGAGGATTTAGCCAATTGAATCATCATGCTGGGCCTTGCGGGGGGGGAAATATTTAAATACGAAATTTTAACAGCCATATTTATTAAAGTCCATAAAAGAGAAAGGGAGAGGACCCATTTAGGAAGGACTTTCTTCCATAAGAAATATTTTTTTATCTGTCTCAAAGGAAATTATTTAAATAAGGCCAGCTAGCTATTCTTTGAAAACTCAACTCAGGACCCAGATTAGCAAACATTTCCGGCTTGTGAACAGGAAGAATCTGTACACATTAGTTAAGCACGTGACTTGTGTTGCTCTCATCTGATCCTTGGGGATTTGGTGTCTTAGGAGTTCAGCTACTGCCTGGTAGAGAGCTTTGAAGATGGTAGAAAACAATGCCTGCTCATAAAGAGGCTCAACAGTTAACTGAAAAACCTGGAGGCATCACTGCTTGAAAGGTTGCTTTCTTGTTTCTCCCCTGTTCACATCAGCTTCCCACATCTCCACCCTGCCACAGACAAGTCTATATTCTCCGTACAGCACCTTCGTTCCTTGTCTGTGTCTCTCTATGGCCACCACCTACCCCGGCCTAGAAATGTGTAAAAGCCTCTCTTTGCACAGTTACAGGGCAGAACAGGCTGAGGAGCTGAAGACAGCTCCCTCCATGGCTTTCCCTCCTAAAGAAGCAGTGCTATTGGTTAGCAAAATTGCAAGAGCATTCCTGAGAAAAACATATGTACAAAAAATAAAACTCATGTTCTCTCTAGATGAAGAAAAATTACACTAGGTCATTTGTACAATAAATTCTTTGCGAAACACTTTGTAAATCTAACCTTGTACAATTAAATTACTTATATAATTGAATTAAGGGTATATATGATATACCCTTAACTCAAATGTCATCAGTCACTGATTTATGTTGATTCAAGTACACGTACAATTATAATATCCCCAAATCCTTAAGATTCCTTGTTCTCCCTCCACAACCCTCATCAGTTCTTGATCATGAAGTTAATCCTGGGGATGTGTGCTCACATTCAAGAGGTGGCCTGTGGGGAGAACTGTTTTCCACTGGACACAAACACTTGGTTAGGCTATGAATGCATAGCATGTTGTGTTATTGTGTTCCTGCATGCCAGCAGCCACAGACAGAGGACACCTCCCTTCCTAGCTTTGGGTAATTTTTCTCTTGAGAGAATCGTGTGATTTTGAGGTCACTACTTCTTCCTGTCATGTTGGAATGGAGCCCACATTATAAACACATGACAAGGGTGAATGGTTATACTTCAGCTGGCCTTGCTATTTCCTTACTCTGTAAATTCAAAATTGCTGGCCTACACATACATCAGATAAAAGGCTGACTCTCACCAACTGTACTTAAGTTAGGTCAGACCTTATTTCTTCATAAATGCATGAGTTCAATACAGTTGCATCAATGACTCCTACCTTTTCCCTTGTTTTGTTTTATTTTTAATTTTATATTTTTTTCAAAAGGAACTCTCCTGTTGGGATTGGAGATAAGAATAGCATCATAAAATAAATTTAGGAGTTGGCATTGTGGTATAGCAGGTTAAGTGATCTCCTGCAACACCAGTTTCCAAAATCAGTGCCAGTTCAGGCTCTGGCTGCTCCATGTCCAACCCAGCTTCCTGGTAATACACCCAAGAAAACAGCAGAAAAAAGTGTCTGGACCCCTGGGCTCTGGATCCATGGGGGAGACCTAGATGAAGCACCTGGCTCCTGGTTTTGGCTTGGAACAACCCCAGCTGATGTGATTATTTTTAGGGTGAGTCAATGGATAAATCTCTCTCTCTATTCGCCGTGTGTGTGTGAACATATATATCTAGACATAAATCACATATATATCACACATATATCCAGAACATATATAGATATATATGTGTATATAGACAGATGCTTCTCAAATAAACTAAATAAATATTTTTTTGAAAAAGGTAAATCTCATAAGACTAATAAAATTGTACTCTTGCCATACATATGGCCATACATACAGCCCACATTTCCAATGAAAGTTAAGACAAAAAATCACAGAGGTTAATCCAGCAGCTGGCATAATGAAAGAAAGAGTATATTGGATCTGAAATTAGAGGCACCTACCAGCTAAAATGCACTTGATAAATATTCGTAGGTTGAGTGAAGAAATAAAAGCAGGAATTATTACACCTGCACCCTTGTCTTACCATCTGTCCTTGGCGGTTGACATTTCCACACACTTTGTATATTCCATAGTAAGGTAGATATACTCCACAGATTTCTGAATCAGCAGGTGGAGAGAAGAGGCAGCTTCACAGCCAAGCTGAAAATCCAGATAATGCTTCTTTTCCAAGCTCAGCTGCCTCCTTGCATTTACTCTAATTGGGGGTGACAGAAAGTAAAGCTGTTTTTGAAACACTATTTGCTTGGATGTTCTGCAATTCATGCCCATGCTTAGTTGCTTTCACCAATTAGGTACTTGAGTTTCCATTTTTGCTATTGCAAACTCAGATTTGACCAGCAGCTCCCAAGATGCGTAATGACAAAGTCCTTGAGTTCACTTCCACACACAGATCAAATTTAAAGAGACAACTGCACTTTCCTAGAAACTAAGAATCTGGCTTCCTGCTGCATGACAGCAAGTATTTAAACTGGTCTTGATGGGAAAATCAATTGTTTCTCTGTAAAAAAAAGCTTACTACCAGGCAAGAACTGCCACTCTAGACATAAAAAAGAATTAATAGAAGGAAGTGTAGTTGGCCATTTGTTCCATCCATAATCTGTTTCAGATAGTGTCAACAAAGGAATAAAAAATGGATTTCAATTCTTGAGAATCTTTGAGAAATCCCCACCTTTTCCACTGTAGCATTGCCCTGGGAGATATAAACCCCCACAGCTTCAACTCTTTTGCAGAGCAAGGATGACAAAATGTGTATCAGCAGCCAACATGGCTTAACTGTTGTGTGAACTGTCATTCATTTGAAACTACCTTAGTTGTGTCCACGTGTCTGTCCCATGGCATTGCAAAGTCAGCATATCCAGCAGTTTGTTGGCTTTTCTGCACAGTTGGTCCTCCTTCTGTAATTTTACTGTGTTGGCTGAGATCACTGCCCAATCAAACAAGAGCAATATCTGGGAGTCACCTGTATCTACAACTCTTTCTTTCTCAACTCAT